CAAATGTCTTAAAAAAAGTCCTTTACATGACAAAAAATGGTTTTTGGTTTAATTACTCTTAAATACTTGTTTTGAGCCTTTGTATTCATTTTTTAGAACCCATAACCATCACCTACATCATGTGCTTGAAAAATTCCATTTTTATCAAAAGTGTGGATATTTAAATTGAAGAGCTTTCTTATAAAAAGAGATCATCACATAGGAAACAAGACTTTGACTTCTTTTCTTTGTCAAAATTACTCTTTTGAATCCTTCAATCCATTTTAAACTGAATTTGAATTTTTCAAGAGCGTGATGGAATGATCAATGAAATAAAATGGATGAGAGAAGCAATGAAAAAAAAAAAGAAAAATGAAAAAAAAGAATGAGAGAGAAATGAATCTATCAGGTGAAAACTTAAAAAGGAAATTTAAAGCAAAAATGGGAACTCGTGAAGCCACTCATGATTTCGATCAAGGTTGTAATAAAAAGCATAAGATTAAGGTCAATTTAAAGCAACTAAAATGCATTTGAGACATCTAAAATGTATAAGAATGTCAAATACCAATGAAGATTCAAGATTTGTTAGAAAATTAATATTGAACTTTGAACCTTTCTCTTTTAAAATAGCCTTGCAAATCTTAAGCCTTTAATTGCTAGTGTTGACATCTATCAAAATGCCACACCTCTTGAGACTAAGAGAGTGTCAGAATTGATTCTGATTTGAAATGAATATTTTTTATGAAAAATTTGATTCTCAAACAATACAAGTTTTAAGGCAAAAAATCATGTTTCATTTATGAGCTTAGACAAAGAAACTTTAATTCGTCCTTTCTCCATCAGTGATGAAAGCTTTGCTGTTAATCAAGACCATGATCCGCTATCCAATCCATTTGAAAGATTGAATTGTGATTCAACCCAACCAAGGTCATTTAAGGTAATAATCACTAATTCTCAATAGATCCAAATGTCACATATTTTTTCAAAATTGGATATTTTATCACTTCAATACGAAAAGTGTAGAATCGATATATTTCTGTTCCAAGGTTTAACTATCTTTTATCATGAACAAAGTTGTGTGTGGCAATATTTGTTGTCATTTTGTCAAAATTCAAGATTTTTTTTTGAAAGCAAAGGAAAGCTATTTTTATGATTTTGCTATCATTTCATTCTGATAGGACAAGCATATTTGAAAAGGACAAAATCATTTCTTAAGCAAAATGAGAAGGATGCTTTGCAAGGCAGGTTCTTATGATCGGGAAATATGGAATCAGTGAAATCAAATTTGAATTGATACATAAGCTAGCCTTTGGTCATATCTATTACTAAAGTATGATTTCAAGATTCCCAAAACAAAATGACAAGATTGGCATGAGAATCATTTTCTTCCATCATTCAATCATGCATACATGTCAAATCATGCACATGGCATACAACATCAAAATGGAAAATTTTCAAGCAAAGTCAAAACTAATACATGTTTTTTAAGCTTTAAAAGTTTAAACTCACCCAACTAAAAGGTTTGCATGTTGCGAAACCTTTATTAAGGTGAAAAAGGATTTGAGTCGTCCATTAAATTTCATAAACAACCAATGAAGAGAGAGTCCAAGCCCAATCTAGTTGGCACCAAAATGAATTAAGCCCAATTGAGTTGGCATGAGAGATTTTAAGCCCAATTTAATTGGCACTAAGATGAATTAAGCCTAATTAAGTTGGCACGATAGATTACAAGCCCAATCTAACTAGCATCAAAATGAATTAAACCCAGTTAAGTTAGAAAGGGAGATTTTGAGCCCAATCTAGATGACACCTATATGAATTAATCCCTATTAAGTTAGCAGAGAGATTTTAAGCCCAATCTAATTGGCACCAAGATGAATTAAGCCTAAAGAACGAAGTAAGAAGACAAGGTTATGGATTTAGGCACTAACTTATTTAAGCAAGAGAAGGCAAACATAGGTAAAAAGAGTGAAGTGAGGAAAAAAGGAAAACAAGAAGTGAAAAATCAAAATATCCTTCAAAAATATTAAAATGCTAAAAACAGATGTCAGGTGCAAAAAAGATATGTAGGTAGGATTCATTATAGTTTAGATATAGTTGCATTATAAGAGATGTAGTCTTTAACTATATTTACTTTTCCACACACACACACACACACACACATATATATATCCCCTAGTAGTGGAGGTTTTTTTTTTTTTAATTAAGTGAAACATGGAATTTGTACTCTACCATTTTAGGAGATATATGTATGTGTCTACCATTGAACCCAATGAAAATTTAAAACTTCATAAATTGATTTCATATTAATAAATTAATAGGAAAATTACTAAATTAACATAATCAATTAGGGGGTGGGTACCACCCTTTGGGTATCTGATACCTGAACCTGATTTTTTCTTAATTTCATGTAATTAAAGACATACACATATTGTTAATTAAATTAATTCATAAAATTATGATTAGTAATTAATTTATAATATCTTTTAATATATATACTCTATATATTATGTTAATTTATGAGAAATATATTTACCATTATATATATATACTTTTAATATATATTTTAAATATAAATATATTTACTTTCTATTTTGTGTTAAAAGGGGTATAACCGTTTGGATATCCGATACCTGAACTTGATTGTTTTTTAAAATTTCATGTAATTAAAGACATACACATTTTGCTAATTAAATTAATTCATAAAATTATGATTATTGAGTAACTTGTAATATCTTTTAATATATATACTCTATTTATGCTAATTTATAAGGAATATACTTACTATTATATATATATATATATATACTTTTAATATATACTTTAAATATAAACTTATTTACTTTCAATTTTGTGTTAAAGTTACCAATGTTATAACTTATAAAATTATTAATTATAATATATATCTTTATTTATATATAAACTTACAAAATATATACCTAAAAAGAAATTGTGAGGTTAGAATAGTTTTGAAACTTGGCTATTTTTTTAATTTCATGGACAAACCCATATAGTTAATTAAACTTGTAATGTTTAAGTTATTGTTTGAATATTTGTTTTTAGCTATTTAAGTTGATATTTGAGGTATTTGTTTTTTATTATTTAAATTTAAATTTTATTATTTGTGTGCTTTTATAAATTTAATTATTAGTGAATTATATAAATTATAGATGAAAATATTATTACATATAGATATGGGTACGGATTCGAGTTCTGATAATTGGATATCCATGAAAAGTATTTTAATAATTTTTTTATATAATTGGGTGTTTAAATGAATTTGGATAATTATCGAGTATTGAGTATATATTAGAGTTCAAAATAAAATAGTGAATTTAAAAATATTCGATTAATTATAGAGTTCGGGTATCTATTTATTAATCGGTTCATGTATTTATTTATTAATCGAGTTTGAATTTGAGTGCCTCAAAATTAGCGATACTCTTCTCGTTGGCATCCTTTCTCCATAGGCCTTTATAAGGCTATCTCCCCTGTTGGCATTGTAATGTTCTTATGTTTAGAGCGTTATAATGTGTTCTTACATATAATGAGATACCAGCACTCATTGAGAAAAAAAAATTCACCATCTTCTTCCGGGCAAAAAATAAATGGTCGAAAGAATGCCAACATTTTGTTTGAATTTTACCAATCTAAGATAATGGGAAAGCTTTGAATTTTCTTCTTAATAGTTATGTCGACATTCTTCCAACACCTCTAGCTGTTCTCAAGATCCCCGACTCTTCGGGCATGCTCCTCTCTTAAATTTGCAAATACTCATATTTTTAATTTAGGAAATCCTTTCAAATTACAGCAAATATATTGAAAGATGAGCTCATTAGTTTCCATAATTTACAATTTAAATGCCACAGAGGGTTCAGTCTTCACTATGAGCTGACCATATGTTCCCTGCCTCTGTCATCAATTCATTAGACTTTTGGCTAGTTCTTTTATGTAAATAACACTTCCTTGTTCACTCTGTTGTCAAAATTCTGTTATCAGTTCCAGCCATGATCACCGTTAAGCAAACCCAGCTCTTGACATTCCTTTGTTTTTTTCTCATCTTACTCCCTTCCATAGCACGAGGGGAGTGTACCTGTGAACCTGAAGATGGAGATCGCAATAAGCCTCTAGCGCTCAAATACAAGATGGCTGCTATGGCTTCGATTCTTGTTGCTGGAGCAATAGGAGTTTGCTTTCCCTACTTGGAAAAACTATCAAAGCTTTACATCCCGAAAGGAATTTATTCTTCATAATCAAAGTCTTTGCAGCTGGTGTGATATTGTCGACAGGGTTTATC